AAAATTAGAGCCCAAGATACACCTCATTGTAGGAGAATACCTTTAGAGCCTGGATTCTGGAATATTCCACCGTAGCTTTAAATGAGATTCTATCCACCAATTATAGAGCTCCTAACATTGGGATTCCATTAGGATTTTATTAATTTTTTTTTTATGAAAAAAAGTTTAGGAGGAAGAGAGTTTATCCCATCTCAGAGCCAGGGCATACCAAAACCTCTTTGAGGACTTACAGATGGGGTCTTAACCTCTTTTTTGGTTTTTACAAATTACCCATTAAGAGGAATTGTCGACAACGGAACTCGAACCTATGCCATGATAGCAAAGAAAACGATTCTTACCAACTCAACCTCTAACTACTAGTTTTGTTTACTTGGTAATGAGGGACACAACTAGGATAACTTTCCATCACCTGAGCCCTTCCCTCCTTATGTTGGTTAATCCAAAGCCTTCCCCTAAAGGCCACCTTGGCTCTAGAAGGTACTATCATCTGCAACAGACAAGTTATCTTTGGAACATAAGCATAGTCGTCCATCTGACATCTTCCTAAGGAACCAGGCATCCTCAACTACTACCTTCGTTACTTACTAGGAATAGAAGGAATTCAAAAAACAAAACAAAAAAACTGTATATACAATATACGAAGGTACATAAGGGGCACTTTTAAACATTAATTTTAAACCTTATTTGGGCAGAAGTACACTGTGCCAAGAGTCAACAAGTTTATTGTTTTATACATAAAGTAGATAACTGTTTGAAACACGTTTCTTATGTATTGAGTTCAGTTCCTCTAATGCAGCTTCCCAGGTCCTGAATGCAGTTGAAGTGTCCTGCTTGGTACAACCTGAAGAACCCCAGGAAGTTCTGCCAGTAGAGAGTAGAAAGACAATGAGTATTTATCAATGATCAGACATCTGGGACTCATAACGTGCACAAAGATGCATACCTGTCATTTTATAAACTTAAAAATGCCAAAAATTGTGCAGAATTCTGTGAAGTGCATGATTTTGTGTATTGAAAAACTGATTATACTTCTTTTTCATTTATTATTAGGGGAACGGGATTCAAACTTGGGACTTCTTACAATACAGGGAAGAAAGGTATCATTACACTCATACTTCAAAATATGACAAATGCCTTTCAAAAAAAGTTTTTATTTTATTTTCCCTTCTTTTGCCTTCATCTTTGGGAGGAGAAACAACTAAACTCACGTTGGCAATACACTCATCCTATCCTAAAGATATCATAGAATACATAATACTAATTACTCATACATGTTCTTCAAATGCCATATACATTGTTTCCGAAGGGTCAAAACCAAATTTCACCCAAAATGTTAAAAAACCAAACACTTACCAATCATTTCGGATGTAATTATGTCCTAAGTTTCTAACTCTATTTCAGATAATTGCCAACCTAGAACCACAAACAAATACCATGTTTTACTGTAGGTTTCTCTGCAAAGTCAGCTAAGACACCAGTAATTCCTCTATTATATGTAAGCTTATGAAACATGTCAGCTACTAGTCAGTATTAAGCATGAGCAAGAAGCGTTGTACAGCCTAAACACAAAAAAATCATTATGATACAAATCAGCAAATAAACAGTAGATGTTTTACCACTGGGGTTACTCGTGGGGAAAAATCGGTAGCATAAAACTGCTTTTAAAAAACTTATCAGCTAAATTTGAAATTTTTTAGAACCACAGATATTGCAAATCAACAACTGGAAAAGAAGAATGGATGGTAGAGATTTTATATTCAACAATAAACAGCAAAACCAAGATTAAGGTTTTATTTTATTTTTATTTTCTTACTCTTCAAAGACACAAAACTTTAAAGCTCAAATATGTTAGATCCAATAGTACAGGCAAAAGTGCAATTGTAGGCTAGCCACCCAGAACATGGCAGAAAAGTCATAACGAAAGTAGCCACACTTGTGGACACAAATCAGGTCTGGGGTTCAAAACAAGCCAAACACAAGCCTGCAGAAAGCAACTATCAATCACTAGACACCAAATTTCCTAAATATAAGCACTCAAAGAACCGATACAGCATTTGGAAATGACAAGCGGATTCGAAATAATCTAATCAAGCTTGCAAACACAATACCCAAAAAAAAAAAAATCACATTAACCATGTCTGGATATTGCTCAGGGATCAGATAAATAAATAGCTTTTGCCAATAACTGGAAGAATAGTCATCATGAACCCTAGAAAAAACCAAAAACTCGCAGCAGCATATTTAGATAATTTCGTCTTAGAGAAAGAGAGAGAGGACTGACTTGAAAGTTCCTCGACCTGTTGAGGAGTGAGCTTAGCGGAGAATCCACTGGCAGCCGTCTTGTAACTGTATATCAGAGCCCCCTTCGCAGCCTCCTCACTGTATGTATACAACAAAAATTCACAATTACCAACAAATTAAAATAATTATAAAATAATTATAAAAAAACACACACAGAGACACACAAATTCACACAGCCATGTTCATTTGATTCATTTTCCTTTTGATTTTCCCGGGAAACAAACAGTAGAGAAAGAAAACTGACGGACCTGCCGAGGACGGAGGCTAGGGTTCGGATGTGGTAGGCCTCAGGCTCCTCATTTTCGAGAGGCCTCTCAGTGTAGACGATGTGGACCGCCGATTCGGAAGAAGAAGCGACGGATTTGGGAGCAGAATCGGCCATGACGAAGAGAAATGCGAGAATCAGAAGCAAAATTGATGAGAATAAAGAAGCAGAAGGAGCTTTGTTTACCATTCCTTGTTTTATAGAGAGCACAAAGGCAAAATCTTATCAGGATTTCAATTTTGTGAACACACTCCTCTTATATTGGTAGCTGACCCATTAAGTTATTTGCTTTTGCCTTGGTAATAACTCCGTGTCCGTCTTTCTTTACCTTTTATGCCTGCCTCTTGGCCTGCACGGTGGAAACTTCTTTTTCGTTCCCTTTAACTTTTATAGATATTTATTTAGAATTTTTCTATTTAAATCCTACGCTTTTATTTGTTTATCCCATATTTAAATAATTAAGCTCTTAAGTTTTATTATTTTATAAAAATACAAAAAAGGTCATTAAACTTAATACTTAACCCTAGCACATTTATACACACCCCCACCACTCTTCATATTAAGTTTTAGAAAAACACAACTCTTTTACACCCTATTGCTATAATACTCTTCTCTTTCCATCCAAGAAGCTTAGTACACTCTTGTTTGTGAGGTAAAATACCTCTAGGCCGAGCTAGGCTACACCACGGTGTTATTGGTCGAGCTGGGCTGGAGCTTGGTCGTCATACATTTTTCCACCCTGACCCGTGTGGACTTGGGGGCCCATTTGAGCTCAGCCTCGGTGCACATGAGTTTGATTTACATGGTGTTCACTCAAAGGACTTCTAATCCCAAAGAAGTTGGGATGTTTCGGGATCACCAAGACGCCAATCTAAATGGAGTCCTAGTCCGAGGAAGATTAGGTTGTTATGGAGTCCTAGTTCAAGGAGAGCTGGTTTGCTCTAAAGTCCCACTCCGAGAGGGATTAGGTCATCTGGGATGATATAAAAGACTAAAGCCATCCTTCATAAAAGGTATGCAATTCTAAGCACTAGAACCTATTGTGCGATTTTACTCTCAAACACTCGACTGACTTAAGCATCGGAGGGTCCTTGGCCAGCACCACACCGGTGTCACCCACTGAGGCTATCTTGTTTTACAGGTTCTGGAGGACGACTTGGTTGGTCACGCTGACCTAGTCTGGAAGAATTGACCAACCTCGATCTTGAAGAGGTCATCTTCTGTTGAACCAATTTTAGACATCAACAGTTTGGCGCCGTTTGTGGGAAACGACATCTTGTTGATTTCCATCTAAGTTTTAAGACAACAACCACTTGCTTGAAACCATGAGTCAAGAGCCCAGCCACAACGAACCTGTCACCCCTGCTGCGCATATCAAGGGGAGGAAGAAGTCCAATCGCCTAACTAACATCGAGACCTACCTGAAGGAGATGAGGAAGGACATTAATGAACTCCGTGACCAGAACAAGGAAGTTGGAGGAGGAGTTGAGAAGACCTACACAGGAAGGCAGTGAAGGCTAGAAGAGTGGCGCCAAGAACATGGAGATAGTCAACAAGGCGGACCCCAACGCCGAGGCAAACTTCAACGTGAAGGACAGAACGATGAAGAGGGTGAGAGTCATCCCCGATCTCCTAATGGAATGGACCATGAGAAGCTGCAAACTTTCGAGCCTAGCCTTCGCGACTCATTCTCTGGTTTCTCTTGCATGCCAACTGAAAGCCAGAGGGAATACCTTGACATAAGGGATTTGCTTGAGGCAAAGAAAGCTCAGTACGTCCAACCTCATAATCGCAATCGTGAAATCGATTGTGATCGTGAAGTCAATCATGGTCGTGATCTTGAGGTCGATCATGATCGGGAAGTGGATCAGTCTGAGGTCCGTCCTAATAGAGACGAGCAAGCTAGAGAAAGTAGAATTTTGAAGGCCATGAAGCGGATGCAAGATGAGATGGATCGGAAGCTGGAACTCCTCCTAACAGCCCTTGAGCGTGAACGAGGTCCAGGACCTCTCGACCTGGTCACGACAACTAACACCCTACCATTCAGTTGGGACATCCTTGAATTCAAGCTCCCAAAGATTTCAAACAGCCTAGGATGCGACTCTATGATGGGACCACTGATCCGGTGGACTTCTTGAACGACTTCGGTTATTGGATGAATGTGAAGGATGTTGGAGATGCCATGAAATGTTGGGCTTTTCCTCTACTCTTAGAAGGATCAGCTAAGGATTAGTTCAAGTCCTTGAAGCCGAACTCCATCAGCTCATTTGATCTGCTCAAACAGAGCTTCGTGAACCAATTTCTATCTACCTCAAAGAAGAGATACCCACCTAACTACCTCCTCAGCATCAGGCAAGGCGCTAAGGAGAAGTTGCGGGGCTACATCAACCGTTTCAATCAAGAAGTAATTAGCATCCCTAGTTGCTCCAAAGATATGACATATACTGCCCTTCTAGCTGGGTTTCGGAGAGGACCTTTCCTGTTCCATGTCAACAAGTTTCCACCTAAGAGTTATGAGAACCCGGTGTCCGAGGCGTATTGTCATGTCATAGCTGAGGAGATGACATGACACACCAGAAGAAAAGGATCAGTCGCAGCCTGGTGTAGGAGATAAACGGAGAGAAGATTGGAATGATGTGCGCGAGAAGCCAGACTATAAGAAAGGAAGATTTGAGAATTCTAGACGAGGTGGGAGAGACTGAGATCGGCCACAGAATCTATTTTGACCACGGTTCGACAACTACACCCCATTGAATACTAATCGAGAGGAGGTTTTCTTCCACATCTAAGCTGAGTTGCCGAAACCCCGACCTTCGAGGTTTTCTAAGGGCTAAAAAGATCCAAATCGATATTGCAGATATCACCGCGAGAATGGTCATACGATAGACCAATGTTACGAACTCCAGGATGAGATCGAAGCATTAATTAGGCGAGGTCGTCTAAGCCGATTTGTGGGTGAGAAGAAGCAAGCAGAGCAACATGAGAACACACCAAATAAGCAACCACATGCTACGAAAGACATCAATGTTATCTCAGGTGGAACAACTCTAGCTAGGGACTCCAACAAAGCACGAAAGGAGTATGCACAACGTACCCCAGGTGGACTCGAGGCCCTCTCTGTTGGTCCAGGCTATCAGACTCCGAAGTCACCCAAGCTTGGGTACTCAGCGATCACCTTTAACAAGGAAGAGGAAAAAGGTGTAGTTCATCCGCATGATGACCCATTCATAATCCAGGCTGAGATCACAAATTATTGTGTGAAACGAGTCTTCATTGACACAGGCAGTTTGGTTAATATCATCTTTACATCGGCTTTCGAACATATAGAGATATCACGAGAAGACCTTAAGCCAGTGGTCACTCCCTTGCTCGGATTCACTGAGGACAGCATCAACTCCATTGGAAGCGTTACACTACCTCTGTCACTGGGGACAGCACCCCAATGGACAACGATTTACACAACTTTTCTAATAGTTGAATGCCTTTCTGCTTATAATGTCATTTTAGGTCGGCCGGCCTTATGCTATCTTTGAGCCTTTATTGCCAGCCATATGCTCTTGATGAAATTCCCAACCAAAGCTGGTGTGGGATATGTAAAGGGTGACCAACAAAAAGCTAGGGAGTGTTATGTTGTGGCATCCAAGCAGAGAAGGAAGGAAAAGATGAAGATGTACGCTGTTGAGTGAGATGGGATAGATCGCGAGGTCGAGCTCGGCCCACGAGAATGTACCAATAAACAACAAGCAATGCCAGGAGGGGACCTAGAGAAAGTGCAAATTGATGATGATCACCCAAATCGGATCGCCAAGATTGGTGCCCAACTACCACCGCAAATTCGTGATGACCTAACAAACTTCCTACGTGAGAACGCTCAGGTATTTGCATGGTCGTATGAGGACATGCCAGGAATAGAACCTGAGATCATATCACACCGTCTAAGTATCGATCCCGCCTTCAAGCTAATACGCCAAAAATGTCGAGCTTACGATGCAGAATGGTATGCTGCCATGAAGGAAGAGGTGGACAAGCTCACGAAGATTGGTTTCGTTTGTAAACTTAACTATCCAGGTTGGTTGGCCAACGTGGTCATGGTGAGGAAGACACCTGTAAAATGGCGAATGTGCGTTGACTTCACTGACCTAAACAAGGCATGTCCCAAGGATAGCTTCTCGTTACCCCGTATTGATCAGCTCGTCGATTCAATCGCGGGCCACGAGCTACTTAGTTTCATGGATGCATACTCGGGGTATAACCAAATTCTGATGTACCCACCAGATCAGGAGCACACCTCATTCATCACAGACTGAGGTCTTTATTGCTACAAGGTCATGCCATTCAGTCTCAAGAACGCAGGTGCGACATACCAGCGACTTGTTAACCAGATGTTTGCCAACAATATCGGGAAGAATATGGAGGTGTATGTCGATAACATGCTAGTCAAGAGTGTCATAGTTGATCATCACATTCAAGACTTAGCTGAAACCTTCGAAGTATTAACGAGGTATGAGATGAGGCTTAATCCCGCTAAGTGCGCCTTCGGGGTTAGCTCGGGAAAATTCCTAGGGTTCATGTCAGCCAGCGTGGCATCGAGGCGAACCCAGAAAAGACCCAAGCTCTGCTTAACATGACATGGCCCATGACTTTAAAAGAAGTGCAAAGCCTAACAGGTCGTGTGGCTGCACTAAATCGATTCATATCTCGGGCTACAGACCATTGTCAACCATTCTTCCAAGCTATAAAGGGGAGGACGAAACTCATTGATTGGACCTCTGAGGGTGAGGGAGCTTTTCAAGAGTTAAAGGAATACATGGGTAAACCCCCTATTTTTTCCAAGCTTGAACATGGCGAAGATCTATTATTGTACCTATCCGTGTCTTCCACAGCGGTAAGCTCAGTGCTCATCAGAGAGGTAGGTAAAGTTCAACACCCTGTGCATTATGTAAGCCGAGCTCTCTAAGATGCTGAAACAAGGTACCCTGAGATCGAGAAGTTGGCCCTCGCCCTTGTTATTTTGGCTCGGAAGTTGAGACCTTACTTCCAGTCTCATACCATCGTTGTGCTGACCAACCACCCATTGAGGCAGGTCTTGCAAAAGCCTGAGACCTCAGGTCGGCTCATCAAATGGTCAATTGAACTAGGTGAATTTGATATCATATACCACTCACGAGAAGCAATCAAGGCTCAAGCTGTGACCGATTTTCTTTCTGAGTTCACCGATGTACAACCACTACCATTGCCAACAGATCAGCTTGAGATAAGCATAGAGAAGAAGATACGACCTAACCTTCCACTTTGGATTCTACATGTTGATGGTGCTTCAAATCAGCAAGAAAGTGGGGCAGGGTTGGTATTAACCTCACCTGAAGACAATGAGACCCAGTATGCCTTACGGTTTGGGTATGAGGCCTCGAATAATGAAGCTGAGTATGAGGCACTCCTTGCAGGGCTTCGCCTAGCCTCCGAGCTTGGGGTTTAATAGCTACGCATTTTCAGCGACTCCAGTTGGTAGTAAATCATGTCACTGAAGAATACCAAGCTCGAGATAGAAGCATGAGTGCCTACCTGGCCAAGGCCAAGAAGTTGTTGGTTGATTTCATTGGTTATGAAATCATTCAAATTCCTCAGCTCGAGAATGCGAAAGCTGACTCCCTTGCTCGATTGGCATCTTCTTTCGATATCGACCTGGGGAGATCCATCCCGGTGGAATTCTTGGAGAAACCTAGCATAAAGGAAGATCGCGTGGGTATGTTCCCTATTAGTTCCGAGCCAACTTGGATGGATCCAATATGTGATTCTCTAATGCATGGAGTCCTACCCGAGGACAAAACAGAAGCTCGACGTGTACGGTATAGGTCATCCCGATATCTGATCATCAACAACAAGTTGTATAAAAGAGGTTTCTCTTTGCCATACCTGCGATGCCTGACACCAGTTGAGGCTAACTATGCGCTTCGTGAAATCCACGAAGGTGTTTGTGGAAATCACTCAGGCACTCGATCTCTTGCCCACTAAGCCCTTAGACAGGGATATTATTGGCCAACACTCCAAGCTGATGCTAAGAAGATTGCTCAAACCTGTCCTAAGTGCCAAGAATACGCGGTGGTTCCCCATCAACCACCAAAGAATTTGACTTCAATTAGTAGTCCTTGGCCCTTTGCTCAACGGGGAATTGACCTAATTGGCCCTATGCCAAAGGAAAAAGGTCAGACCAAGTTTGCAATTGCTGCAGTGGACTATTTCACCAAATGGGCGTAGACTGAACCCCTAGCTACAATAACCGAGAAGAACTGCACCGCGTTTCTTTAGAAAAACATCATATGCCGATTTGGTATCCCATACTCCATAGTTACCGATAATGGGAAGCAATTTGATAATGCCAAGCTTCGTGAGTTATGTGCTGAGCTCAACATCAAGCATTTCTTTGCATCTTTTACTCATCCTCAAGCTAATGGCCAAGTCGAAGCAATCAATAAGTTGATAAAAAAGAACTTGAAAACAAGGTTGGACAAGGCTAAAGGAGCATGAGCTGAGCTATTATCCCAAGTCCTTTGGGCGTACAGAACTTCACATCGAACATCCACGAGAGACACCCCATATGCCCTTGCTTTTGGAGCCAAAGCTATAGTGCCTGTCGAGATTGGAATAGCTATGCACAGGGTGGAAGTGTTTCATGCTAAAGCAAATGATGACTAGATGAATCTTAACCTGGATTTAGTAGATGAATGACGGGACCATGCTCAGCTGAGCAATGCCTCATACCAACAACGTGTAGCTCGCTACTACAACTCCTGTGTCAAACACTGAGCTTTCCAAGTTGGTGACCTGGTACTCAGCAAGGTCATGCTTGCTACTCGCAAACCTTCAGATGGAAGCTTAGAACCGACCTAAGAAGGGCCTTATCGTGTCATTAAAGTTGTACGCCTGGGCACCTATCGACTAAGGGATCTTAAGGGAACAAATCTACCTCATCCTTGGAACGCTGAGCATTTAAGGAAGTATTACCAATGACTTCCTCCTCATCTACATGCTCTCAGAGTTAGATCATCAATTTGAGATTCAGATTTTTCGTTTTGTTTCTTTTCATTCAGTGTGGGACTATCTTGTTATGAAAGCTCATAAGGTAGCTTTTAGTTCTTCAACTTAGTCAGCTAGCGTACGATCTCGCTCTTGTTTTGTTTTCAATTTTTTACTAGTGAATAAAATTGGGATTCCTTTTCCAACATATTGTCTCTCTAAGCCTTAACAAAGTAACTCAAAAGGCCACATTCAAGTCAGGATGAAATCAAGCTCTAAAGATTTGCCGAGCTCATATGGACGAAGGGTCCGAGCTATATTTTTTTATCAAGCTCAGATGGACGAAAGGTCCGAGCTTCACTTTTATCGAGCTCATATAGACAAGAGGTCTAAGCTCAATTTTGGCTAAGCTCATATGGACGAAAGGTCTGAGCTATATTTTTATCAAGTTCAGATGGATGAAAGGTCCGAGCTACACTTTTATCGAGCTCATATAGACAAGAGGTCTAAGCTCAATTTTGGCTAAGCTCATATGGACGAAGGGTCTGAGCTATATTTTTTATCAAGCTCAGATGGACGAAAGGTCCGAGCTACACTTTTATTGAGCTCATATAGACGAAAGGTCTAAGCTCAATTTTGGCCAAGCTTATATGGACGAAAGGTCCGAGCTATATTTTTATCAAGCTCATGTGGACGAGAGGTCCAAGCTATATTTTTTATCAAGCTCATATGGACGAAAGGTTCGAGCTATAATTAATTTTTATCAAGCTCATGTGGACGAAAGGTCCGAGCTATATTTTTATCAAGCTCATGTGAACGAAAGGTCCGAGCTATATTTTTTATCAAGATCGTGTGGACGAAAGGTCCGAGCTATATTTTTATCAAGCTCATGTGGACGAAAGGTCCGAGCTATATTTCTATCGAGCTCATATAGACGAAAGGTCTAAGCTCATTTTTTGCCAAGCTTATATGGATGAAAGGTCTGAGCTATATTTTGACCAAGCTCATGTGGACGAAAGATCTGAGCTATATTTTTATCGAGCTCATGTAGACGAAAGGTCTAAGCTCAATTTTGGCCAAGCTCATATGGATAAAAGGTCTAGGCTATATTTTTATCAAGCTCATGTGGACGAAAGGTCTGAGCTATAATTTTTTATCAAGCTCATATGGACAAAAGGTCCAAGCTATATTTTTTTTATCAAGCTCGTATGGACGAAAGGTCCGAGCTCTATTTTTATCAAGCTCATGTGGACGAAAGGTCCGAGCTATATTTCTATCGAGCTCATATGGACGAAAGGTCCAAGCTATATTTTTATCAAGCTCATGTGGACGAAAGGTCTGAGCTATATTTTTTATCAAGCTCCTATGGACGAAAGGTCCGAGCTTTATTTTTATCAAGCTCATGTGGACGAAAGGTCCAAGCTATATTTCTATCAAGCTCATATAGATGAAAGGTCTAGGCTCATTTTTGGCCAAGCTCATATGGACGAGAGGTCTGGGCTATATTTTTATCAAGCTT